TTTTTCTATTTGTCTCTGTTTTTGCTTCAGATATTTTAAATCTGTTTTATTGGGTACATTTCAAGCTTGAAATTGTTAAATCTCTCAGGTGAATGAAAATTCACCATTTGCTTTTGTCATTATCACTTTTGTATTAGGAACTCACATTTTTATTTTGTAATAAATACATAAGCTATAGGAATTCTCCATTGAGAATATCCTCTTTCAAAGAAAATTTGCTCTTGGTTTTTGTCAGTGTTAGAGTATGTTCCCGGAGTAATTTTATATAATATTGGAGTTTCATTGATTACACAGGTATTTCTTAGCTTTATGGCTCAGGCACATGGTACATTTTCTCAGAAATACTTTTTTCCAGTCTATAGAGGTGGGACCAGTAGATGTTGCTGTTGTAAGAATATCAATTTTTCTGAAACCATTCTTTCACTAGACCAATTCACTACTGCTATGCAGACCTCTCAGACTAAGCAGCCCCTGCAAATTAGCTGTGTGGCGCAGCAGTATGTTCTGAGAAACACAGCTCTTAAAGCCTTCTTGGAGTTGACGTTGGCATGCGTGGCAGCCCTGGTAGTCACATTCACCCTTACTCTAGTTTTGGCCTCTTGTTCATTTTTCCTCCTGTGCTTATTCTTTTGTTCCCTCACAACCGTAAAACTATGCTTACTATATTTTTTGTCATTTTGTAGCTCTTGGGTGCTTGTAGTGAAGAGAGATTCTTGGAATATAAAGCCAGTCACCTCTGCTGGAAACAGAAGTCACACGCTAGAGTCTAGAACATATTTTGAAAATATGTTGATTAGACATCCTTATGAGAGGTCCTACAGCCTTCTTCCTACACTTTTCCACCTACTTCCCTGCTTCTCTTTTGTCATAGCTCTGCCAACATAACGTTCTCTAAACCGAATCCTAATGCTCTGCCCTTCTGAAATTTAATTGTATGCTTACTGCCTTGGTTTTTGTTGTGGTGGTGCTCTTTTTTTTATTTGTTTGTTTTTGTGTTATTTCCTCTAATAAAACCTCTAGTAGCATAAGAAATATTTGCATTGTATGACCTGGCCAGTTGCTCCATAAATATTTGTTGAGTACTAAAATGAATGACATTTGGGCTATCCCTTTTCAGATTGTATACTTGATATCTTGTGACACTTCTTATGGAAATCTTATAATTAAATATTTTGAGACAGGTTCTCACTGTGTAGTTCAGGCTGGCCTTGAATTCACATGTAACCCATGCTGGCCTCAAATTCATGGCAACCCTCTTGCCTCAGTTTCCTGAGTACTGGGATTACAAGGGTGTGCCGCAGTGCCTGGGTTAATATTTTTAATTTATCAAATACAGTTATTTTTATAGGAACAGGAAATGGAGGAAGGAGAGAAGAGAAATGAGATGGGAACAAAAGAATTAAGGAAGAGCACATTTTAATATAATTTTAAGCATGGAGAAGGCATTAGTATTTATACCAGAGAACTTTTTAAAACAAACAATATTTTTATTTTAGATTCCAGTCAGTATTGCATTTCCCTTGAATTCTGTATACAAGTGGTTTTAGTTTGGAGCAGTTCAAGACCATATGTTTGCTCCTGCCAGGAAATGCTAGCTATCAAATACCTCTTTGTTCATGACACAATACAGAAACTAAACCATAAGGTCCTGGAATCAGATCATTGCCTTCACTACTGAAAGGTCTACTCATAAAAAAATATCCAATCAAGTTAAAATGCAGTACAAAATCCAGACAAGAAAATAATTATAAAAGAAAAGGCAGGTAGGAGCATGATTTCAAAATTTCATTTTATTTTTTTTAATTAAAAATAAAAAAACTATTTCTGCCACTCAATAACCAAATAGGAGTTTATCTTATACTGGACATTTAAACTTTGGAGGAAGCCCCAGGGCCCTGATTAGCAAATATATCAGCATCTGAAATATAGGTGATTTGCAGTGAACAGTAGAGATATTAGAGGTTAGGAAGCAGGAATGGAGGCAGAGTGGCTTTCACCCTCACTGGTGTGGCTTTCACCCGCACCACCGTCTTGATCATTCTTATTCCCGTGCTGACTTCCTCTCCTCTCCATTCTGTTCACAAATGGATATTGGTGGGAAATACATGAAGTGCAAAGTGACTTCTACCTTCTGTGCCGCAGGCAGAATTGACAGCTCGGAAATGCCACTCCCCAGGTGTCCCTCCCCTTCACACTCTCTAGAGGAAGCTAAGATGTCTTGCATCCCTCAGTGGAGAGGGCAGGTGAAAAGGAGCCTGTTACAAACTCAGAAGCAATGTGAACTTCAGCATTTGCCCATTCATTGCTTGCAAAATAGTCCTTTGCAATCTTTCCTCTTGGAATCATCAGACTTCCAAGACAAGCTTACCTGATGAGTTGGAGGAAGAAATAGAGGAGAGAAATAAAATCATTTTAACCACACTCTTCTATACAACATTAACCCCTGATGTGTTTATTCAATCCATGTTATTATTTTTATTATCTCAAGAGAAAAATTATCTTGAGATTTAAAGTAAATTACTTTGCTAAACTAAAATGGCAACCAAACCCTCAAGATATTCTGCATATGTAGTACATTCTTCTGTCTTACGTTACTCTGCATTATGAAACAGCTAGCACAGGGCGAATATTTAGCAATCTGTAATTGAAAACTACTATGTCTGTTTTAATAATGAAAGTGACAAGAAAAATGTTGACAACACAGGAAATATCTGCATTTGTTGGTATGAATTATTGTGGGAGGAACTATTGCCTATTGAGTTCTTGTGGCCAAGTTGCCATTCTTTCCCAATTGTTTAGATTAAAAGGCCATTTCATATTCCTAATATTCAGTATTTATTCTGTTATATGCAGATCACTAAAATAAGGGTATGCGAAGAAAGGACAGTCCAAACTGTTAAGCGTTGTATTTGACTTGTCAGACTTTTACATACGTTCAAATTAAACTCACTGAAATGATGATCATTCACTATACCATTCTTTATCTTAGTGAAGGTGGACACAAACGAGCATCCCCTGCTTACCCTTCTTTATGTCACCTGAACACTTGGCGCCATTGTCAGCAGGCAGTGTGGCCCAGTGACAGGACCGATTCCTCTATCTTCTGGGTACCTGAGTTCCTCTGCCAGTTGAAGCAAGTAGGATCTGTCCTGAACTAACAGATCGTGTCAGTTAGCTAAATACGGAGGATAAGTTTTGTTCTTCACATAGGTATGCTTAATGAAGGAGCCTCCCATAACTTTGTGGCATGAGATTTTATTGAGGTTGGGTCATAGCACAAATGAAGTATAGTTTCTGTCTGATGACCAAACTCTGATTAATGTCTTGCAAAGAATTTTACATGAGCTTTGGTGTCCTTGTCATTGTCTATTCATAAGTCACAGTCTGGATTTTGTTGCTACCATTTCCTCAATGAGAGTTGATTGTGAAGTAATATATAAACAATCCATTACTAAAATAATATGGAGCATAAAAATTGGCTTTTTGGTTCACTCACAGGATTTGTATCAGACTTTTTCTCCTTCCTAAAAACATTTAAAAGTGTTAAAAGTGACCAGTATTTTGTCATTAATTTTCCATAGTTACCATTCAAAATGTGTTCTGATAGTATGTTATTTATGTGTCCTTCTGAATATGAAATTAAGTAATTGATATCTCCTTATATAGAAATCAAAGGTAATTATAATAAATGCTTTCAGAGCACAAATCTCAGAAGCATATGTGTTGCTGAAGTAAATTATTTTCTATACTGGGAAAAAATCTTCATACTTAACTGATGCTTTGATGTGAATAAAGGTCATTTATCAGTACTATTCAGGTATAACTTTTAAAATTAATTGCTTTTATACTAATTGACTAGTTAACAAGCATCAAATATGTATGTATATATTTCTGTATCCATGTACAAAGGAGCAGTGTGAACATCAAATAAAAATCTTGTTAGCAACATTATGTAAACATTTATTTTTCTTTATTTTAAGTCTTTGTTTCTACCTGTTTTATATATGAACATTAAAAGTAGTACATTGAAAAAAATGTTTAAATAATAGTACATAGAAGTGATAGAGGCATGCCTTTGGGAGTTAAAACATAGACTTAGAAATAAATTAATAAGGGAAGAAATGCCTGTTAATTGTCAGATGCAGAAATTTCTTTTTGTTGTTGAAATACATAAAAAAAATTGAAATGAATGTAAGGTTAATGTGTTCTTTCTCTGTGTGAACAGATATTATTAAATTTCTAGGCAATTGCTATACAACCAGCACCTTAAACTGATACAGAATTCTAAGTCCCTATTACTAGTTATATTTTACGTTCTTATCTTAGTAAAATTTTCTTTTCAGTTTTCATACCTAATTTTTAATCACAATGAAAATTTGAATTGATTACTAAGGCATATTTAAACATAAAGCTTTCAGAAGAAAAAAAGTTAATCTTTATTCTTTATATGGTTTTATTCTAATAGTTATATACTCAAATATTTAAGAAACAGTAGGAGAGTAAACTTCTATATGTATTTAAAATCTCCATATTTCTTACAATGACTACAATTAAATTTCTGATATGTTAATTTTTAGTTGGAAGAGAAGCAGTTAAAACATTTCAACTTACACTTGGTGGGTGTATTTTCATGTGTTTGAATTTGGGGGATGTCCCTTTAATTGGTCAAATGTTCAATGCCACTATAAAACACTTTCCAGTCATTCTCAAGGACTAGTTATTGTTTTCTGTAGATATGGAACATATTTATTGCCGTCCTTTACCTTGAAGTTTGTCTAAAAGACAATAATTCCATTCCATTCGTTCTAGTCAAAACATGAAGCAAATGGCTACAAATGCTTCCAATAAATTTCTACTATAAACACAACTAATCTGAACACCATGGACCTATAAGCCTTTTCCTTAATTATTTAGATGGGGGTGGTCTTGGTACCTGTATAAAACATGCAAAAGTATCTACTCTATCAATACAAATCACTAATTCTGTTTTTCCCCTCCAGGCCTGATGGAATCGGAACTGTTTCAATGGAAGAAAAAGAGAGGTTTGAGGAGATAAAAGAGAGATTGTCTTCCCTTTTAGAAAATCAGATAAGCCATTTCAGGTGTATTTTCTATTCATCATTATCATTTGTTTTTTATCTTATCAATCCTCCTTACAGATTTCTTTGTTACATGTTCCTGCCACTGTGCAAAAAGTATGACTCCCGCCCCCTACAGAGCGTGGCACGCATCCTTCCGTCTGTCGTCTGCCTGCCTGAAGCCTGCCATTCGGTGCCCACTGCTCTGCAAGCTGGCCATTCCCCTGGCAATGTGCATTCCATGCTGCCTCTTGCTTGCTCGCGTATTCTTCTACTTCTCTACCTTGCAGACCCCTTTGCCTCCTCTCTGTCGCCATACAGAGCCTCACAACCCTCCTCACTATGGAGCCCTTCGTGCTTATTCCAGCAGATCATGTTCTGAAGTCGTTAGCGGTTAGTGTTTGTTCTCTTCAGTTCTTACTTATAACATGGTTAGGACATCCAGGGCTCGAGTCATTCGATAGCTTCCATTCATATTCTGTGAGGATAAAAGCCACGCCAAGCACAGTTCCTTGCTCAAACCCTGAGCCATCCGTAATAAAAAACATGTGTAAAGTGAAAATAAACTTCTTGAGATTATTTTCACCTGCTTTTAGTTAATTCAAAAGAATTTAATAAGTCAAAATACAAATATGCTAATACATTTTCCCTTTCTATCATTCTACCTATAAAATGTCACCACGTCCATGTATTGTGACTTAGAGGCTGGCGACTATTACACTTGTGTAATCCGGAGGCATTTCATATGGACTCCTTGAAAGAGTACTTAGGTAAATCTGCCTTCCACAAATTGCTGTTTGCCCAGCTGAATGTTGTGTGTATGGCCATTTGAAGACTGTGGCCCTAGCTGTAATGTGAAGATCTTCCATGCTGTAATTTTAAAATGATATTGAAGGAATTCTCATTACACACACACACACACACACACACACACACACACAGAGAGAAGCCATTCCCTTACAGGAGAGGTTTTTAGCTGCAGCTAACACTATCACCTTAGACTAGTTAGTCAATAAAGGACTGTTTTTGTTGTCACAGTAACCAGTGGTTGAGCTAGACAGGTAATATTAGATTTAGACATGTGGTGCTCAATAGCCTAGCTGGATTCAACTTCCATACCTAAGACGCAATACTTTACTCTTTTTTAGTTAAAAAAAAAACAAGTTATAAAAAAGATCGTTATATTTTTAGTTATGTTTCTGCATTTGTTATTGAAGGTATTGTCTGTCAGATTGTATAAATGTCTTTTAAATGTACTTTTGTGTCTTTCAATGAAAGCCAGTGGAATTTTTTTTTTCTACTGTGGGGACAAAGCTCATCATGCAATTGAATATCAGTAACCATCTGCATCTCCATGATTTCTGTACCAAAGATTTCAGCTACAAGTAACAGTAATCTTTCCTCAAGATAATAAATAAATGTATATGCCTGCTTTCTTGTGGCTTTCAGACAGAGCTACTTATTCTCTGCCTTTGTGAGATGGCTCATCCCCACACTGGCAGCTAGGAGACCCCAGAATACCTTAGCCTTGAAGCATCCATGCCAGTGTTCAGAGAAAGTAACTGTCTGTGTTTCTCTTAAAATCATGAAAGGTTTCCTAGGGCTGGCCAAATGGCTCAGCAGATTAAAGCAGGCTCTTTCATGCCAGTCCTGCCCCTGGGGCACACTGAGATGGAGACTGAGATTGGGTGTGGTGGCTTGCACCTGTAATCCCAGCTCTTGGAAGGCTGTAAACAGGAGAATCGCTACGAGTCCGATCTAGTAGTGAGACCCTGAATACCCTGTAGGCCCTTCCCAAAATACAGGGGGAAAAAAGGGAAGGTTTCCTTAAAATATCCTAGCAAAATTTCTTTCACACTGAATTTACCCTAAGTAGATCAGATGCACAATTCTAACCCAAAACCTGAAGCTAGAGAAGCCTCAGCCCTGAGGCTCAGGGGCGATCACAAGACTTTCCCACAGGGCCTTCAAGGCTTCTGCACCCCCACCTGGAAAACAGTAATACAGGGAGAAATGTAGAAGTCATTATATTAGTCTTTTTCTCTTGCAATTTTGCTTATCTGTAATATATACATCTATATATAAACTTCTTTGGTTAAGTTTTCTAAAGAAATACTGATTTCCCTTTTGTCTGGTATACAGAAGAAATTAATTAGTCTAACCATTTTGAACTGACTTATGTTCCTTTTGGATATTCACAGGGTTTTCATAGATTTTACCAGTTTTATTTTTCCTGAGTCTATGGAATACTAGATAAGACTTTTTTAAGTATTGAAATAGAAGAAATTTTAGATAACTATATTGACATGTTCAGGAAAATAATGTTTTTAAAAATCCATTAGGTCTATTGTAAGAATTCTGGCAGATTATCTTCCTTAGTTACATATATTAAAATATATAGAGAAAATAAATTTTTGAACTCATGGTATGTAATGGGAAAATGGAATCATAAATAATTTGTACTGAAATGTATTTCCTTAGAGATAGTTCTATCTAGAATTGAATTTCAAATACAGATAAAATAGTAAGGCGAAATAAATATAGATGAAGAACTTCTGGTTGACAATGACAGAGTGAGATGTGAAAAAGCATACTGAACACACTCAGTATGTTGCTACTTCTATAAAACCAAATACCCAGGAGCAGTATTTCTCAAGAAGGTATAAATCTATAAAGACAAGAATAGGAGAAGAACAAGTGACAAAGAGAAAATTTGAAGAAATATTTTAGAAGTCAAGTGAATCAATGGTGTCTAACTTAGCCATCAAGGGAAAACATCAAACTGGCAAGATGGAAACAGAGAAGCAACTCAGATTACATCATGCACCAAAATGTGTAGAAATTGATGGTATGGAGTTGCCCTAGAAATTAAGAGTGCAGAGTGCTTTGTTGTAAATCTGTTTAAGAAACTTGTAGAGCCCTATACCTCTTTTCCTACACTGGCAGAAGATTGAAAAATTCACCCTCTGCAGACATGTGGGCTGGGGTAAAGAAGGGAAAGTATGTTCCAGAACATCGAATGACAGAAGCCAAGATAGATAAACTCTTATTCTGCAATTGGAGAATCAGAGACCTTTGCCAACTCATACACTTGACTCTCAAAATGCTGCAGGCAGAGCAGCTTGCTCCTGGAGTATAATACAAGCATGTTGCCCTGGCCTATGACTGGGCCCAGAGACCTAAGAGCTATGGAAAGCAAGAACTTCCCAGTCAATCCAGGCAAACAGCACCTGTGTAAAGAATGTCTTCTATGAGCACCTCTGTGTGCATATTACTTCCATTCATATTTTGAATACTATACTTTTAAAAATTATCATACACCTTGATTACCAGACATTTGATAAAAGCATTTCATATGGAAGATGGGAGGACTGGAGATAGTGCTCATTGGTCTAAATGCCTGCCTGAGAAGCACAAGGACCCACGGTGACTAGGCATGGTGGCACACACTTGTAATCCCAATGCTGGGAAGGCTGAGACAGGAGGATCATTACAAGTTCAAGCTGTGTAGCGAGACCCTGTACCTAATACATAAGTAAAATACTTTCTCTATATAGAGAGAAAGTAGAGCCCGATACAGGGAAATAATGGGAGAGGGGTCAACTGGGAATAAAACTTTGTATGGGGAGAAGGAAATCAGGAAAGTCTATTATCGGTCTTCTTAGAGAAATTTGAAATACAGAGACTATATAAACTAAGTTTATATAGAGCATATACAAAATAAAAAGAAAATCAAACAGAAAAAACCTGAAAGAATAAACAGGAGCTCTTAGAATTTTATTTTTACTTATTTATTTTTTGTTTTGTTTTGTTTTTGGCAGAACCAGGGATTGAACTCGGGCCATTGCGCTTGCCAGGGAAGCGCTTATTCTACTGAGCCATCTCCCGGCCCCAGAAATTTTATGAGTATGCAACACATACAAGATATAGGCATCCTGAAGAGATATTATGGCAATGAAAATTTCCAGAAAGAAGAGCAGGGTGAAAATAGGAAATTGGAGTAACAATAAAAGAAAAATTAAGTATCTCCCTAGGTGCTTTATTATCAAAATAATAGTAATCCTAAGAAAAGTTAAGGCAAGAGGTTGGATGTTATCAATGTACTTGATTAAAATATTTCCACAGTTGAAGGACTTAAAATTTTTAAATTAAAAGCCTGTTGCAGGCCAGCCAAATAGCTCAGATGACTAAAGTGCCTGCTTAGGCAGACTCAGGGAAGACTGTGGTTTGAACCCAGCCTGCTGTGCCAGCCCCGCCTGCGATGGAGACTGGGCATGGTGGCACACACCTGTAATCCCAGCGCTTGGGAGGCTGAACAGAGGAGGATCATTGTGAGTTCGAGCTGTGCAGTGAGACCCTGTGGACCCCACACGAAAGAAAGAAAGAAAGAAAGAAAGAAAGAAAGAAAGAAAGAAAGAAAGAAAGAAAGAAAAGAAAAGAAAGAAAGCCAGCCAGCCTGTTGAATAATCAGTAAAGTGGATTAAAGTAGATGCTCGTCGGGTTACATTTTTATGAATTTTTAGAAAGTTGACGATACAAATAAATTATAAAATCATCCAGAAATAGAAAATAGGCCTCACACAGAGAATAAGGAATCAGAATTCTTTTTCAACCATAATTCATTCTATAAATACTTAGTGCCTACTGTACAGCAGGCAGGGAACAGAATTTAAAGACCCGCCTGGTGATTTTATTTTGATGTGAGAAGTAATGCTCGTATGCAGAAGGCAGTGCAGTGGGCTTTGCAGTTCTGAGGATGGATCATTACAATGTGGAGCTCACACCAACAAAAGCGCTTATTAAGGGTGATGGGAAAATAATAGAATTTCTCAGAGATGCACTCAGAAAATATGCCACCTGTCTTTTCTTTGGTGAACTGTAGAATTGCTCAATACTGAGTAGGAAACAAAGATTTAAGATCTCAATCAGGAAATAGTATTTACAATAGTGACAAGATTAAAAAATATCTTAGGACCAATCTCATGAAAGATATGTAAAATGCATACAATGCAAAGTACAAAATA